TTTTTTTTTTTTTAGATTGTGTTATCTATAAAACTTTAGAGATAAAGGTCATTTTAAAGGTTATTTCTACAACAGGAACCACCTTGTTGATGTCACATTTGAATTATTCCATTTTTTACATGGCTATATTAGATTTTCTTTTTCCTAGGAAGTTTAATTAGTGGAGGAAAGAAAGAACAAGACTGAGTCTGTTTATTCTCAAGGGGAAGCTAAAGAAGAACTTTAGTGTGATATATGGGAAATTGGGGGGGGGGGGGGGGGAGAATCATAGTAGATGCTTTGGTGGTGAACATGGTGTCAGGCTGACCATATCTGGGAACTGTGTCAGGGTGTGCTTGCTCCCACGCTGGCTGATAGATGGGAAGGATGGCTAAACCTGGCATATTTACCATTTTATTAGTTTTAACTTCCCTCTGTGTCATCATTAGCCACGGGTGTTGGCAGTAATCTGTTAGGTGGGAGCGCTTGTGTTTGGTTGGATAGAGCAGTTAAGAAGATGTCAGACTTCCTCTATTCACTGGTCCGTGCTGCTTGTGCTTCTTTTATGGTCCCAGGGACAAAAAAGTATAAATAAGAAACAAAAAAGGAACCGCATGGCATAGCTCCAAGCTGCAGGAGCTATTTTTGGGTCCAGCTATGGGAACATAACCAAGCTCCCAATAAGTCATACATGGACAACATGGTGGCTGTAAATCCTAGTGCTATTGGTGGGCTGACTCTCATAAGTGATTTACAGAATCAGATAATGTTAAGAGACCACTTTCTGCACACCTTGCCGTTGTTCATAGCATCAAACAAACACAGAGCCTAAACTGTAAAGTGTATTAAATCAAACAATGCGTTTTGTCTGGATCACTTTACAATGTGGAGATCATATTTCTAAGTAGAAAGCATTTGTTTTATGAAAGCGCTGTGCATCCTTTCCATCACCCCCTGCCGGTAGGTTCAAGTACCCTGTTTGACCTGTAATTAAAGCTCCTTGTGGTTATTGCATAACAGGCTCTTGTGTGTTGACTAGTTGCTGGCTCTTGTTGTTCTGCAACAGGTTAGTGGGCAGGTTTTATAAGTGACTCTCACTTGTTTACTATTGGAAATATGTCTTCTATTTCCAAACAGCTGCTTATAAGATGTGTGAGTATAGCTATTGCCAGACAAAAGAAGAAAGAAGCTACCTTCACTTTGTTCCTGCATTCACAAGGGGTCTTCCTTGTAGCTCCACATTTTCAACTTGTTTTTTTTTTTTTTAATTACACCAGACAAATGCAGAAATGCAAAGACCTCTGAAATTTTTCAGTTCACTTTTGATTTCTGAAGGGAGTTATCAGCCAGTGCGCACCAAAATGCCTCTGGATGCAGCTGGACAGAGATACACTCACAAAAATCTGTAAAGCACTAATTATATAAAATTATAGGTTCATTTATTCAAATAACTAATCATTAAGGAAAATATGCTTGGTATAAACTGAATACCAATCAAGTCAATTTCATTTGACCAGATTTGATCAAATTCAACATTTTACACTGTACTAATGTAACATGGAAAACTGAAATGTAATCAGATTATTTAAAGTCAGTATTTGGGGCATAAATATTTTTTTTCAGTGTACAAACAACTATAGCAATGAGTCAGCATTTCTAAACAGATCATAACATGCAGATATGACTCAGTATCAATGAAAATCTCTTTGCATAGAAGGGAAAACAGAAACACGAGTCCTCAGATCGGCCTGGATCCAGGGTTAGCATTGTTACGTAATATCAGTATTAAATGGAATCAGATACAAATATGATGTGAAATGATTCAAACATAGTGACAAACATACTGAGAATGATCTCCTAACTCTCTACAAGCATCATGGCGGATGCTTGTAGATCATTGCCTTGCTTTTCAAAACACATTTATCATATGGTTGAGTCTCGTGGCTCTCACTAGCTGCATCAAACAACAGACAAAATAAGGAACCATCTGCTTAGCAAGCTAAATACCTGAATGTAAAAGCAGTGTTATATGGGGGGATGCAATGGAATTGACACTATACTAGATACACTAGATATTTCCACTTTTGCCAGACTTACAAATCAAGTGAAAAACATTTTATAGGATGTGTTTTTGGAAACATTTCTGAAATTAGAAGCAAGATGTGGGGTGCTAGCGAGGTAACCTCGGGTTTAATATGAATGGTTTTTATGAAGCAGTTATTTTCAGAATATTTTCAATTCAGTTTAGTTAGAACTAGTGAGATATTCAACTCTCTTCAAAGCTAAGCGTTAAGAGGTGGCTTACTCAGAGACCAGCAAAATC